AGGATTATGAGGATGATGAGGATGATGAGGATGACGAGGAAGAGGATGACTAGAGTCAGCCCAGGATGCATCAGGGATTCTGCAATACGCCCTCTCGGCCCAAGTCCCCTCCTCCTTCGACTGTGCAAGTTTTTCCTCAAGATGCAATGTCCGTAGGCGCGCTAACGGCGATGCAGGTAACGGCGATGTAGGTTTCGGTATTGTGGGAACGCGAGGCTCGTGCATTCCTACAATTCGCGGTGTCGTCTTCGTTCGATCTTCGCGATTTCCTACACATTGGTTCCCAACATCGCCGTTAAGCAACATCGCCGTTACCGTGGCCTTGGTTTCTGCGAAGCGCCCGCTTGAACGACGAGCGCACCATCGGCCCTCAATTCAGACCGGAGCTCCGTTTCGAGAGAAGGCCGCCCTCTTCCCTTCGAGCTATTTTGGAAGAGTTTGGCACTGTGGGGCCTCAAAGTCTCCCTCCCTCGTCCTCCTCCCTCCCTCGTCCCTTCTCCCTCCTCCTCCCTCCTCCCCCCTCCTCCTCCCTCCTCCCTCCTCCTCCCCCCTCCTCCATTCTCCTCCCTCCTCCCCCCTCCCCCCTTCGTCCTCCCCCCTCCCCCGTCGTCCTCCCCCCGTCGTCCTCCCCCCTCCCACATTCGACCTCCCTCCTCCCCCCCTCGCCCTGCTCTCCCCCTCGCCCTCCCTCTTCCTCCTCCCGCCGCTCGCCCTCCGCACAGCGACAGCCCTGACAATGAGTGACGAAGAAGTGCTCAGCGACAGTCCTGATTCAAGAAGGATCAGCCCTGGCAATCCATCAGAGGCTCACGCGAGAGAGCCCCACTCCGAGTGGAACCGCCCTCAACAACCCGTGCAATTGTTGCACGTCGTTATGTTCGTGATCCTGGTTTTCGACGAGGTCTCCGGCGAGAGAAAACATGTTGCACGCTTTGAACCCGAAAGTGCGCGTCGCCAAGGGCCCGATTCTGTGGTGCATGCGCGTGGCGCTACGGCGCGAGCCAGACTTTGAACAGGACGTTCCTCCGTCCGTGCTGCAGTCGGACGCCTCAAAACCTCGGGGTGGTTCGTTGCCAGGCGGCCGCGGGCGAAGCGCCCAGCCCGACCTGCGGACCTGTCTGGTGGTGCCACAGGTCTGACCGTACTCAGAAGGAAACGTCGGACGGGGCCAGGAGGAGGACGAACCCGTTCGTTCCAAAGCGTTCCGGAACGCTCTCCGAGCGTTCCAGAACGCTCTGAGGAGGCCGCGGCGCCCGAGACATCCTCCAGAACCCCCGGATCCCAGAGATTCCCTTTCGATTTATTATCTTCACCCGATTTTATCTGCGTCTTTGCTTCGTCCTACTTGGTCGTAGGGAACAGGGATGTCTTGTGGTGGTGATGCTGAGGAGGTGGAGGAGGCCCGAGGGCAGGGATGCCCGAGGGAGGAAGCTGCCCGAGGAGGGGGAGGGAGGAGGATGAGGAGGAGGGGGAGGAGGAGGATGAGGAGGAGGAGGAGGAGGAGAAGGAGGAGGAGGAGGAGGGGGAGGAGGAGGATGAGGAGGAGGAGGAGGAGAAGGAGGAGGAGGAGGAGCAGGACCAGGAGCAGGAGGAGGAGGAGGGGAGCTCCTGCTCGTGCTCCTCCCTCCTCCCGCCTGCTGCTCCTTCTCCTGCTGCTGCTGCTGCTGCTGCTGCTGCTCCTCCTTTCCTTCGTCTTCCCTCCTCCCTCCTCCTCCTTTCATCCCCCTCTCTTCCTTCCTCCGCAGACCTCCGGCGACTCCATTTCTTCCCGTCGCCGTCTTCGGAGCTCTCGACCCCTTCCGCAGGATGTGTTTTTCATCCTGAATGTCGGCGGCGTGCCCCGGGGGGAAGTGAGAAGGAGGAGGCCTTCTCGGAAGGCGGCGGGGCCTCGCAGAAGCCCTCGCGCCTTCCGAGAAGCTTCCTGTAGCTTCGGGAAGGGCCCAGAACACCTTTTTGAAGGCTGGAGGGCTTAGAACACTCCTCGGAAGGCCGGAGGACCTCCGAGCCTGCTGAGAGGGCCCGCCCCTCGGACTCCCCCCCCCGGGGCTCGCCGCCGAGAATTGGCTCTGGGCGGTCCTGGGGCCCAGCAGCGGCACCCGGCCGTGGAGCACTGCCAGCACGTTCTCCTCCTCCTCCTCCTCCACCTCTTCCTCCTCCTCCTCCTCATCATCCTCCTCCTCCCTCCTCCCTCCTCCTTCCTCCTCCTCCTCCTCCTCCTCCTCCTCCTCCTCCTCCTCCTCCTCCTCCTCCTCCTCCTCCTCCTCCTCCTCCTCCTCCTCCTCCTCCTCCCCCTCCTCCCCGGTCTCGACCCAAAGACCGTGAGAGCCGTGAGGGTTGCGCCTGGTGCTGGCGGCCCCCCCCCCTGTCGGAACGGGGCATGCAGGAGCCGTGTTGGGATGCCTGGGCGCCATCGTGAAGCAATCCCGAAACCTAATGCGAGGGCCACTGGTAACCCTCAGAAGAAATTACGATCCAGACGATGTCGTGGAGCTCTGTTTTCTTAGCCCTTGCCCTCACGCTGTGTATCGGAAGCCCTCGTGGAACGGCCGGAGGCTGCTTGAGGCTGCGCTGGGCAACATCGCGCGGCTTGGACGGCCTTGTGGGCTCCTCGGAGTATGTTACCAGGGACGGTGGCTGCGGGGACGCGAGCATGGCGTAACTCATTCGGGGTCGTGGTCTCGGGGGCGCGAGCACGGCGTAGTTCATGAGAGATCGTGGCATCGACGCGAACAGTGCGTGTTTTACGAGGCCTCGGGGGCGAGCACGGCGTGATTTACGAGGGATCGTGGCCTCGGGGACGCGAGCGTGGCCAAATGGCTGGGGATCGTGGCCTCGTGGACGCGAAGATGTGGTAAGTTACAAGGGATCGTTGCCTCGGAGACGCGAGCATCGTCCCAATGGCCCCCCAGGAAATTCTGGGACCCCTCTGGCCGGCGTGGCACAATGCCGGTTCGGGGCTCCCCCCCGCCTTCGCGCGCGGACAGTGACAATCTACACAGCAGGAAGTAGAGAGCAGAACTGCAACATGGGAGACCTGGAAATGGACATGGAGCAGGGAGCATCAAGCCTATTCGGTAGCTGATCATGGCAGCCTGGTATACCGTCTTAATTCTGTCTTTAGCGTCGACTGCCGTCGATTAGCGTCTGGGAGTCGATGAGATAGCGCCGATTTAGCGTGCGCTAGCGTCGATTTAGCGTCGATTTAGCGTCGATTTAGCGTCGACTAGCGTCGATTGGCGTCGATCCGCGAGAGCCGACAAGATGGTATGAGAGGCTCCCATGAGTTGCCACCGAAGGATGTAGAAAGTATAACTACAACATGGGATACCTGGAACCAGAGCTGGAGCAGAGAGCAGCAAGCCTGCACGTCGGTCGTCGAAGCAGGTTTTTTCGTTTGGTTCCCGGATCCCAATCTACTTCGAGCGCCTTCCTACTTGAAGAGTCGATATGCTTCTGCTGTGCTCTGTTGTTCTATGGGAGGGCCTGGACCTGACCTGCCTCATCCTCCTTCCGACTTCAGGCTTGGACCTGCTTCATCCGGCCGACGTGTATGCCACGCAGCCTGGCGGATTCTTCCAGAGCTGCCAGAAGCCTGGGCCCCTCCTGCCCCCGGACGAAGAAGCCGACGCCGCCAGTCTTGGCGCTGGCGTCTCGATGCCGACTCCGACTCCGACGACGCCGACTTCGACGGCGACCGCGACGCCGACTCCGCCGCCGCTGGCGGCGGCGACGACGACGAAGACGAAGCCGACGCCGCCGAGAGCGACAGCGGCGACGGTCTGGAGGCCTCCTGCAGGTCTCTCGGAAGCCCGCCTGATGCTAGGCAGTCCAGGAAGCTTGACCCTCCAGCCTCGACCCTTGACGTCGACAGAGGCGAGCAAGCTCCATCTTCGTTCTCTCAAGACGCTGGAGGGTATTTGAACCTCTGCCCTCGACCCCTGAAATTGACGACGAAGCTGACGCCGGCGCTGCCGCCGCCGCCAGCGACGACGACCGGCGCCGTCGTCGTCGTCGTCGCCGTCGCTGATGATAATGATGATGAGGATGACGATGACGATGATGATGATGATGATGATGATGATGATGATGATGATGATGATGATGATGATGATGATGATGATGATGATGATGATGATGATGTTGATGATGATGCTGATGCTGATGATGGAGATGATGGTGGTGATGATGGTGATGATGGTGATGATTGTGATGGTGGTCATGGTGATGAGGAGGATCAGGATGATAATGCTGATGCTGATGATGGTGCTTAGTATTATTATTATCATTGTTCTTAGTATTCTTCTTCTTATTATTATGCTGATGATGCAGATTATGATGATGCTGATGATGTTGATGGTGGTGGTGATGATCATGATGATAGTGATGATGGTGATTATGATGGTGATGATTGTGATGATGCTGATGCTGATGCTGATGCTGCTGCTGATGATGATGATGCTGATGATGATGATGATGCGGATGCGGATGCGGATGCTGCTGCGGCTGATGATGATGATGATGACGATGATGATGATGATGATGATGGTGGTGGTGGTGACGATGATGGTTATGATGATGATGCTGATGACGATGATGATGATGATGATGATGATGATGATGATGATGATGCTGATATGATGATGATGATGATGATGGTGGTGGTGGTGGTGGTGGTGATGATGATGATGATGATGATGATGATGATGATGCTGATGATGATGATGATGATGATGATGATGCTGATGCTGATGCTGATGATGATGATGATGATGATGATGATGATGATGATGATGATGATGATGATGATGATGATGATGATGATGATGATGATGATGATGATGATGATGGATGAGAGGAGGAGGGGAGGAGGAGGAGGAGGAGGAGGAGGAGGAGAGGGACGAGACGGCAACTTCGCATCCCGTGACAGAGTCTCCCTGCCTGGTCCGAGCCTCGGTCCTCTCGAGCGTCTCGAGCCTCGGCGCCCCCGGGCGGCCGGCCAGGTGCAGCCTGGGGAGCGGCTCTGGTCCCGCGTGGGCACCAGGAACCACTGGGCCCCAGAGGTGTTCCGCGCGGACTACGGCTTCAAGGCGCCCCTCCTCGGCGGCCCCTCTTTGGTTGGCCCCGAACGGCGTCCAGCGAAGAGAGGGTGGCGCAACAGATTTGGTGAAATAGGTTCGTGGGGTTGCAACAGGTCTGGGGGGTGTGCGACACGTTCTGGTGCGCAAATGGGTTGCTGGATTTTCGTGTGCAATGCATTCGTGGCAATATGATGCAGTACAAGTCCCGGGCGCAGCACATTTGCACTACAACGGCCCCAGATCTATTGCACCATTCCTTTTCGCTGGACCCCCTTCTGGGTACGCCAGGTCCTTGGCGGCGCCGCTGCCCCTTGGCCGCGCCCCTGCCGCATCGCATTCGTAGTCGGTCCCGTTCGGGAGCACCGCTTCGGCGCCATAGTGGCAGCCTGGAGCTCAGGTCGCTGGTGGTTGTCGGGACCTCTGGTGGCTGATGCGCAAGGCTCGCGCGCTGACTACGCGAAGCAGCGCTCGCGCGTCGGCACGCGCCCTCCGCAGCCGCCCAGGGTCGGTCAGTCGTAGTAGGCGTGGACCCAAGCTGGGGACGAGACCAAGACATGTGGAAGTTGGCGTGCTATCGGCGGGTGCCTCGGGAGAAAGGGCGACGCGCTGGCCGCGGCCTCGGGGGGAGACTAGCCGAACTGTTCGGGCGCTCGCGGCTCCTCCTCCTCCTCCTCCTCCTCCTCCTCCTCCTCCTCCTCCTCCCTCCTCCTCCTCCTCCTCTCCTCCTCCTCCTCCTCCTCCCTCCTCCTCCTTCTCCTCCTCCTCCTCCTCCCTCCCCTCCCCCCTCCCTCCTCCTCCTCCTCCTCCTCCTCCTCCCTCCTCCCCACTCCCCTCCTTCCCCCCCTCCCCCCTCCTCCCCTCCTCCCCGCCCCTTCCCCCCCTACCCCATTCTTCACAGGTGCCCGACGCGTGCACGGTAGGAATATATACTACGATCCTCTCTCCCCCGAGGATGACCCGAGAGAGTGGCGTGTATGGCTGTTACGCGCAGGACGGTGCAGAGTCTGGTTGCCGTGTGCTGCGTTCTTTTCCGGTCCGAGTCGTTCTCGGTCCTTCCAGAGCTTCGCTCCTGCTGCAGCGGTGGCCTCACTTTGGGATCGGGGCCTTGCGCCCGTCGTTCAGACTGGCGCTCTCGCCCCCGCGCCGGCCCCTCTTCTGGATCCGAGTGGTTCCTCGTCGTTGTCGCTCCCTTCGTTTCCCCTCCCCCGCCTGCCCCATGGTCCTCGTGCTCCCCCTCCGCTCCTCCTGCTCCTGCTGCTGAGTTCCTCCTGGTCCTCCTCCTTCCTCATGCTTCTCCTCTGCTCCTGTTCACCCTCCTGCTCATCCGCCACCTCCACCTCCTCCAATTTACACAGCTCTCCTTTCCAGATTACGCGTGACGCGAAGGGGTCATTTGGTATGTTCCAGGTCGGCTAGGACATCCGTTGGCGGATAGAGGAACCATCAGAACGATGTGAAGGGATGGGATGGGGGGTCTGCTGTCAGATGTGGCGCGATTGTACGTAGCTTGATATGAATACCACTCTCCTCCTCTCCCCTGAAGACGGCCTCAGGGTCGCGCCCCCTCCACTCCGCGTATTCTCGTTTTGCACAACTTGTTTTTCGTCTTTTCTATTTTGCTCCAATCCGAAAGTTCTGCGTCCTTTCAAAATGGTGTTCTGGTTGCAGCGTTAGCCTCATTTTAGGATCGGGGCTTTGCTCGCGTCGTTCAGAAAAATGGCGCTCTCGCCCCAGCGCCGTTGACGCCCCCCTCATTTCCCCTCCTCCGCCTTCGCCTGGTCCGCCTGCTCCTCCCGCTCCTTCCACCCCAGTTCCTGCTGGTGTTGTTCCTGATGGTCCTCCTTCGTCCTCCTCCTCCTCCTCCTCCTTCCTCCTCCTGTTCATCCTCCCTCATGCTCATCCGCCACGTCCTCCTCCTATGTAAGCAGGTTCCCTTCTTCGACTGCGCATAACACGATAGGGGTGCTTTTTGGAGTTCCAGGTCCGCTATGACACGCGTCGGTGGATATAGAAAAGCCAGCGCAATTGGAAAGGATGGGAGGCATGGGGTAGGATGGCATATGTGGCGCGAGCGCGCCTAGCCCGAGATGAACATGACTTTCCTCCCCATCCACCCTGCTCCCCCTCCTCCTCCTCCTCCTCCTCCTCCTCCTTCTCCTGCTCCTCCTCCTCGTCGTCCTTCTCCTTCTCCTCCTGCTCCTCCTCCTCCTCCTCCTTCTCCTCCTCCTCCTCTAGATGGGGGAGTCGGCGAGGACTGTGGCAGGCACCGCAGCCGTCTCATGGCTTAGGCCGCCCGTACCCGCCGGGGGGACCCCCCCCCCGCGGGGGCTGGGCTTGCAGCGGCGCCGTCCCGGCGGGGTTTGACTTCCTTGCCGCTTGTCCTACCCCTCCCGCTGCTGCCATCGATTCTTCGAAGTCCTATCGCTCCCACTCCCACTCCCTCCTCCTCCTCCTCCTCCTTCTCCTCCTCCTCCTCCTCCTCATCCTCCTCCTCCTCCTCCTGATCTCTCGCCCTCCCTCGCATCTCCACCCTTCCATCCCCCTCCCCCTGCTCCTCCTCCTCCTCCTCCTCCTCCTCCTCCTCCTCCTCCTTTCCCTCTCCCCCTCCCTCCTCCCCAGCCTCCTCTCGCCCTCGCCCTCGCCCTCCCTCCCCGCCCGCGCGGCCGCGATGGGCACCGCGGAGGACGGGTCTGGCGGCTATCCCGCCGGCGGCGCGCCCGCTGCGGCGGTGGCGCCGGAGCCGGCGGCGGCGGCGGGCGCGAGCGGCGGCGATGGCGCCAGAACCGCGGCCGCGCGGGCCGACCTCGGGGCCACGGGGGGAGGCTGGCCCGGGAGTGGCGCTGCTGCTCCTCGCTCGTCCTGCTCGTCGTCGACCACCTCCCACCTCTTGCCTCCACCTCTTTCCGCCCCCATCTCCGCCTCCTCCTTCTCCGCCTCCACATCCTTCTCCCCCTCTCTCTCCCTCTCCTTCTCCTCCTCTTCCTAGATTCTCCTTCCCTCCTCCTTCTCATCCTCCCTCCTTCCTCCTCCTCTTTCTCCTCCTCCTCCTCCTCCTCCTCCTCCTCTCTCCTCCTCCCTTCTCCTTCTCCTGCTCCTCCTCTACTCCTTCCCCTCCTCTCCCTCCCTCCTGCTGTTCCTCCTCCTGTTCCTCTTCCTCCTCCTCTTCGTCCCGTTCCTGGAGAGTCTTATCTTGTCTTATCTAGCATCTTCAATGTCATCCTCGTCGCCTCCCTCATCGCCCCTCTCATCGCAGGCGTCGTCACGGCCGAGTCCGCCTCGGAGTCCTCATTCCGAGCGGGAGAGCCAGGCAGACCTCCAGGTCATGTCAGAGGTCGTGCCCCATGATGGCGCGTCGGCACAGCGGCAGCGCTTGGTTGCTGCTCGCTTCTCACTGAAGACGAGCAATGTTGTGGATCCCCCTTCCGGTGCTGATCAGTTGCGTTGCCGGGCCCCCAGATTGCGATGCCATCGTATCCGCCGTTTCGCTCGCTTGGAAGCCCGCCCGCCCCCTTTGATGCCCCGCTTTCCCGCCCCGCCAGTCGGGGTCCGCCCGCCAGACCCGCCACCGAGGCTCCGCCCGCCCGACCCGCCCGTTCGGATCCGCCCGCCCGGCCCACTCGTCTTGCCCTGTCGGGTTTGGTACGATCGAAATTCGGCATCGGTTAACCGATCCCCATCCCCATCCCCTATCCCCTTCGAGACCCCCACCAACTTACCACCCCAGTTGGGGATACACCCCTCGAAACCCGAAAGGAACGGCCCATATCTCCATATAGGGAGGTTACATCGGCCAGTGGGGCCCAGGCGACGCCGCTGGGGATGGGGATCGGTTAAACGATACTCAGAAATGGGTACGGAACGAACGGAGACAGAGCTTGACAGCAGTCCTGGCAATTTTGAGCAGGACTTGCTGTCGGGTCTGCCGCGGGCGTTGTCCATTGGAGACACAAAGGCCGTCTGCCCAGCAGTGGCCAGTGCTGGTTTTGGACAACAGCTGTTCCCAACCAACCTGTTCTTGGGGCCTCGTTTTGACGAGACCCCGCGTCTCCTTCTCCTCTCGCTGTCCCGTCGGTGTCCCATCGGTGGCCCGACGGTGTCCCGTCGGTGTCCCGTCGGTGTCCCGTCGGTGTTCCGACGGTGTCCCGAAGTGAGATCAGTGGTGAGATCAATCGTGAGATCGATCGTAAGGCCGATAGTGAGATCGATCGTGAGATCGATAGTGAGGTCGATCGTGAGAGGGAGTTTGAGATCGATGGTGAGATCGATCGGAGGTGAATGGTTGAGATCGCAGTGATACGGAGAGCCCTTCACCGGGAAGTCGGTTTCAGTTTTGTTTTCGTGTCGTGTGTGCGGGCGAGGAGAAGTTGCGTGGGCGGACGAGGGGAAGGAACCCTGCTCTGGCTAGGGCGCCGCCGGGCTAGAAGATCGCCCCCCCTGACTTGTCCGGCCGTGTCCATGGGTGTCCCGCGGGTGTCCCGCCGGTGTCCTGTCGTTGTCCCGTCGGTGTTCGGTCGGTGTCCCGACGGTGTCCCGTCGGTGTCCCGTCGGTGTTCCGACGGTGTCCCGTAGTGAGATCGATGATATGATCGAAATTTTGATCGATACAGAGATCGATCGTGAGATCGATAGTGAGATCGATCGTGAGACGGATAGTGAGATCGATCGTGATATCGATAGTGCTTCCCATTGTCATATCGATAGTGTTATCGAGTGAGGTCGATAGTGAGGTCGATCGATAGATCGATCGATAGTGAGATCGATAGTGAGACCGAGACAGAGATCGACAATGATATCCATAGTGCGATCGATCATGACATCGATTTCGATATCGATAGTGAGATCCATTCTGCGATCGTTAGTGAGATCGATCGTGCTATCGCTAGTTAGATCGATAGTGATGTCGATTGAGTGAGACGTTTGTTTCTCCCCCCTGAACTTCCTTATCAACCGAAGGGGGGTCGTACAGGTACTTGCCCATCGGTCGTTGAAAGTATGTATGTTTGGATTCCCCGATTCCAATCTGCTTTAGGCGCCTTCCCGCCCCAAGCGTCCACCGGTTTTCCCTCTTGCCTCCTCTTCAGGGGGCGGGCGAAAACCCAGCCCGTTCTCAACGCCTCCCTACTCCGTGCTTCTGCCCACACCTCCCGACCGATGGGTACGCGCCTATCTGTATGGATCAAGTGCAGAGTCCAGACGAAAGTGGCAATGGTTTCTACCCGATGAAAGCCTGTTCAGTACAGTCGCTTCTTCTTGCGTTGCCTGGGCCTGTCGCACGACCTTCGTGCCACGAAGGACAAAACAACAACGCAGAGGGAGGAGGAGGAGGAGGAGGAGGAGGAGGAGGAGGAGGAGGAGGAGGAGGAGGAGGAGGAGGAGGAGGAGGAGGAGGAGGAGGAGGAGGAGGAGGAGGAGGAGGAGGAGGAGGAGGAGGAGGAGGAGGAGGAGGAGGAGGAGGAGGAGGAGGAGGAGGAGGAGAGGAGGAGGCTGCTGCTGCTGCTGCTGCTGCTGCTGCTGCTGCTGCTGCTGCTGCTGCTGCTCCCCGGGCGGCCCCGTGGCCCCCTGTGCGGGGCGGCCTGCCGGCCGCGGTGGCCAGAGGCCAGGAGATCATGCCGTTTGACGACGGCTCCGCCTCCGCGGACAAGGCGCAGTCCAGCGCGATGAGCCTGGTCATCAACTACGCGGACTCCTCAGGAGGAGGAGGCGGAGGCGGAGGCGGAGGCGGAGGAGGAGAAGGAGGAGGAGGAGGAGGAGGAGGAGGAGGAGGAGGAGGAGGAGGAGGAGGATCATCAGCGACGAGCGTATCCACGCAGTGGGCGCACCACGCAGGAAGCTGGCCTGCCAACGGGTGCTCCACGATAGCTGCTTATTGCCCCGGTTGGCACGCGTAGCCCTGGGGAGCCCTACACGCCGGTCGTTGAGAGTAGGTATTTTTTTGATCCCCAGACCCCAATCTTTTTAGTCGCCTGTCGACTTCAAGGGTCGAGCGCTTTTCCCCTTTCCCTTCTCCTCGGGGGGCGGGCGGAAGCCCAATCTGCTTCCAACGCCTTCCTACCCTATGTTCCTACTCACTTCTTCTGACCGACGGTCATCGCCTGGCATGCTCAGGCTCGACGAAGGATGGGCGGCAAGCCTTCTTCTCGCGCGCGCCTGCCGTGCCCACACTGCCTGCGCTCTCGCGGTCTGGACGCCGGGGCGGCGGCCCGCAGGGTGCGCGATCCCACTGGCCCATTTCGCGCGGGGCATCCGCGCAGCTTGCCCTGCACGCGCCGGTCGTTGAAAGTAGGCAGTTTGGGATATTCAGGTCCCAATCTGCTTTAGGCGCCTTCCTACCTCAAGGGTCGAGCGGTATTCCCTTTTCCCTCCTCTTCAGGAGGCGAGCGGAAACCCAATCTGTTTTCACTGCCTTCCTACTTCATGGTTCTACCCGCCTCTTCCGCGCGACGGGTATCCGTGGGATCGCGACCGAGGTGTTTGGACCTCGAGGCCGTGGCTATGGATATGTTCTCCGTCCGCGAGGGGCTGATGCCTGATGTAGGGCTGATGCCTTCGGCAGAAGGGGTTGGCCCTGTAGAGCTCGTGTGAGTCCTCCCATCCCAGGGAGTCGATGCTGGTGCAGGTTGGTAAGTCCCACCTTTATGATTCTGGTCCACATGCCACATTTCGCACCTGCCCAGGAACCCAGGAGTGGCAAGAGCAGGGTCGAGGTTCAAGGACTGAAGATGGAGGTTCGATGATTGATGATCGAGGATGTTTGACGTTTTTCGCCTTACTTGTGCCTCTGGGGAGCTTGTTATCGCCATGGATTGGCTCCCCTCGGACTTCTTGTCAAAACAAGCTCGTGCAGAGGCCTTGTGGATTATTTCGGAGGATCGGAGGAGGAGGAGGAGGAGGAGGAGGAGGAGGAGGAGGAGGAGGGGGATGAGGATCAGGAGGAGGAGGAGGAGGAGGAGGAGCAGGAGGAGGAAGAGGAGGAGAAGGAGGAGGAGGAGAAGGATCGACAGGGTCGGGCTCCACAGGGCCTCCGGGGCCCCACGGGGACGTCTGCACACCTCCCGAGGACAGCAAGTCCAGGCGGCGCGCACCCACCGTGACGGCCAGGTTTTCACTGTCCGACGCCGGAGGCGACACCTCGGGCCTTGGGGCGGTCAGACGCCGGACGGGGACTGAGACATCGGGGGCGTCGGACAGCGGGCACGGCACCTGATCGACTAGCCCGGCCGCCCCCCCGCGATCGGGTGACGGCCCCCGGCCCTCCCCGCGCGTTCTGGCGTCGGAGTCCGTGTGCACGTCCACCGCTCCCCGGCCAGGCCCAGCCCGAGCCCGGGAGCTCCGCGTGTGTGCGCCCTCCTGACCGAGCTGGGAGGGCGTGGCGTACACACCGCTGCTGGGTTCAGGATGAGCGCGGGGGGGCGCGCGATTTGGCGGGCGGGCGCGCGGGCGCGCGCGCGCGGGCGGGCGGGCGCGCGGGCGGGCGGGCGCGCGGGCGGGCGGGCGGGCGTCATTGTCGTCGTGGTCGCCGTCGCCGCCGCCGCCGCCGCCGCCGCCGCCGCCGTCGCCGGCGGCGTCGTCGTCGTCGTCGTCGTCGTCGTCGTGGGGAGAGGAAGCAGTGGATGCGTATGCGTCTTGTCGCCCTGCTCGTCCGCGCACATGCCTCGGGCCATGGTGCGCCGAAGCTCCCCCCTCACCCTCCCCCTGACCGCGGGGCGCCGAGGGGGCCGGCCTTCTCGGAAGGCGGCGGGGCTTCGGAGACGCGCGCCCTTCTGCGCCCGGGCCCTCCTCGGCGGCGTGCCGAGGGGGAAGTGCGAGAGGGGGCAGGCCTTCTCAGAAGGCGGCGAGGCGTCTCCGAAGCCCTCTGGCCTTCCGAGAAGCCCGCTGCGGCTCTGGAGGAGGCCGAGAAAGCTTCTCAGGAGGCCTGAGGCTTCTCGAGCCTCCTGAGAAGGCCCGCCCCCTCTGCCTTCTTCCCTGGGCGCGGCGCCAAGCTTCGGCGCACCCCAGAGAGCAAGCCCCCCGGGGTGCATCGAGAGCTCCCCGGGGCAGAGTCGTGGCGTCGGATGTCCAGGACCCGCTGCTGGCGGCGGGCACTGCGGTGTTCGGTCTTGGTCTGCTCGTCCTGCCGCTGCTCGCCAAGCTCAACCTGCTGGACGACGCGGACATGTATTCTTACCCGCCCCACGGGGAAACAAACCCGAGGCAGCCGATGCGGCTTTTCACGGAGGCGGAGCTGAGGCAGAGGATGGGCCTTCTGTCGCCAGCCTACCTGTCGAAGGAGATCTGCATGAGCACGGACGAGCTCGACGAGTACATGAACAGGTGCGAGATGGAGACCACGGACGACGAGGTCAGCAGGATCCAGAAGTGGCGAGACAGTGTAAACCTGCATTTGAAGTCGTTGCAGAAGCGTTCTGCCTTGGCGTTCCTTGGCCTACCTCCCTCTGCCAGTGATGCCGATATCAACAAGATGTATAAGAAAATGGCCCTGGAGCTACACCCTGACAAAGGGGGTGACCCCGAGAAGTTCCAAGAACTTCAAGAGATGAAGGAACGGCTCAATGAGATGGATGAAGAAGACAAGAAGGGTGGGGAAGACGCTGAAGACGAGGAAGTGAAGAAAGAGAAAGAGCAGGAGGAGGAAGATAATGTAAAGTTGCCACCAAGTGAAAGGGTGAAGAAGTTGCGGATGGACGTCCACGACAACACTGTTCGCCTGTGGGAGAAGGCGAAGAAGTCGAAAGACGAGATCACGGGAGACAAGGATATCAAGTGCAACTCACAGCCAGCACTCAATATTCTAAGGCAATTCGTAGACCGCTTTGTGAATAATGAGATCAAGACGCTGAGATACGACGACGCAAAGGGCGCCGAGGCGAAGCTGAGAAAGTTCTTAAAGCAGGGTACTGAGATAATAGCTGTAGCTGCGATGCACGACGTCCAAGCAACGCTGACGACGATCGCCATGCATTTCAACTACAGGCTCGTGGCCAGAAGCAGGTCCCCCGACATCAAAAACAGGTGCGCGGCGCTGCTCGACGCGATCTCAGAGGTGCCTGTGCGGTCAGAGGCCTTCCTCAAGCAGGTGGAGGACTCCCTCGCGGGCCAGAAAGACCGCGACAAGAGGGCGAAAGAGGATCGGCGGCGCGCCCGGGGGGGGGGGAAAGGCAGCGGGGGGGGGCCTTCTCGGAAGGTTCCATCGGCCGTCGGCCTTCCGAGAGCCTTCCTCTGAGCCGCCTCCGGAGCCGCAGGGGGGGGGCTTCTCCGAAGGCCAGAGGGCTTCTCGGAGACGCCCCGCCCCCTTCTCCGAGAAGGCCTGCC